GCGGATGAGGGTCTCTTCCCCACAAGCCCTGACCTGTTGGTTGTGGGGGTCTACAACCAGGGGTGCTTATTTGCATCTGGGTACCCCATTTAATAACACATTCACTCTGGCGGTGACATCACCTCTGGCTCCACCTATTTGTTTTGATTTGGCCAGCATCTGTCATATTTGTCGGCCAAAATAAAACATCACGGCCGGCCCTGCCCATTTGTTGTCATACAATGACAGGCTACTAACCCCAAATGTCCAGTATTGACAACAAATAGGTGGAGCAGGCCATGACTTTATGGCCAACTCCGCCCATTTGTTTTGATTTGGCTGGGACCTCAGGAGACCCATCTGAAAGGTGCCGAGCAAATCAAAATAAATAGGCAGAGCTAGCGGTGATGTCACTCCATTCTCCCCATTTAGTCTGTGTCTTCAGCGGAGCCCTTCGGCTGCCTTGGGCTGTTGTACGGGCTATTGTGCATAGCTGGTATAGCAGCCCTTCGGTTCAGCTGAACCAAAGGGCTCTGGCAGTTGATATGAGCCGAAGGATTAGCCGATGCTGTGGCGTAATCCTTCGGCTCCTTTATGAATAACCCTCTAAATCAGACAAAACTGCAAATGGTAGGGACCCTACATTATTATTATTATCATCATTATTATCATCATCATTATCTACAGAATATTAGGGCAAATATAATGACATTGTATCTTGATGTCACTTTTGTGCATAATTTATACATTGTTGTGGTTTTCAATGTAACAATATACATAATTATGAAAGTAAAAAGCAGATTTTTTAACACATTTTTCATTTACTTATACCATTGGTCATCACCGTTACAGAAATGTCATGAACTTGTATTACCACAAGATTCAGAATACTTCTAAAGAGATAAGTTATCGCTTGAGACTAATTGTTTATTTTTAAATGCTGCTTTATGAAATTGAACCTACCTCTTGAGAACCCATCTGTGCAGACAGAGCGACACCTCACCAAGAAGGCTCAGAGTGAAGACCAATGTAGTTTATTCTGGCTGTGCAGGTCACAAGGATTTTTTTCTGACATTTCTTGAAGGTGATAGAGCATCACGGAATAATATATTTGTGTACTCTATTGGGGAATTCTTTACATGAGTAAAAAAAATTAAAGTAACTATAGAACATGGGAAAGTAGGGAGTAGCAACTAACTAGTACAGAACAGGAGGGGGAAAATCTAACACTAAGCGCAACATATTGGCCTTCACTGATCACGTTTGTATACATTGTTGCAGCTGGTGACTTAACATTCTTTATCCTAGCGCAACTAAATTGGTTTAACCCTCCCATTCATTTATCCCCAATTTCCCCCCAAACTTTTAAAATATAAACTTCAGGTATGTGTTTGATAGAAATTGGCTAGCATTGAGAGACGAAGTAAGCACTTGAATAGTCAGCAAATAGAAAAAGACTGATTTTATCTTTAAAAAAATAGATTACATTATGGGGTCTATTCACTAAGCTGCCGCGGGATCTAGCCGTAGCTTCGGATGATCCTTCGGCTAGCTTCGGCCCCAGGACCCCTTTGGTTCAGTAGAACCGAAGGGCTGCTGTACGGCCTATTCACCCCCAAAGTCGGCCGAGCGGCTCAGTCGAGCTGAAGGCATATGCCTCGGCTCGACTGAGCCGAGGTGAAAGCCGAAGCTGGCCGAGCGGCCGGCCATTGGCTGGCCGACAGCCTGCTTCTGACAGCTGGGCGGAGCCAGCCTTCACCTCACGGCTGGCTTCGGCCACTTTCAGAGAGACCAGTGTCCCTGGTTACCAGCTAACCAGAGACGCTAACCTTAAAACACTGAGAGCGGCCTCTTCATGTTCTCAGTGTGTAATGACAGATGGCGTTCCTGGGTACATATTAACCAGGAACGCCATCTGTCATTCCTCCACCGGGCCGCTCTGGGACTCTAATAGACTCCCGGACGTCCGGGAGAGAAACATTTTCTCCCAGAAAGGTTCACTCTCCTCGATCGAGCAGAGTAAACCTTTCCCTGCTCGTTTCTTTTTCTTCTGACATCGGAGCCGCTTTGGCTGCCGTCAGAAGAAAAAAAAAAAAAAAAAGAAATTACCATAGGAATGCATAGCTAGATTCCTATTGGCTATTTTAATTTGCAATAGCCAATAGCAAACTAGCTATTGCACCCGCTCACTGCTGCTGTCAATCAGCAGAGGGGGACCTGCAGTTCTCCAGCAGGTACCCATCTGGTGATTGACAGCAGCAGAGGTCGGGTGCAATAGCTTGTTTGTTTGCTATTGGCTATTGCAGAGTGAAATAGCCAATAGGAATCTAGCTATGCATTCCTATGGTGTGTTCGTTTTTTTTTTTTACGGCAGCAGCACCGCCCGGCCAATAGAAAACAGTTTGGCGGAGCTAGCTGTCACTGCTAGCTCCACACAATTGTTTTCTAATTTTTTTGACTTTTTTAACTATTTTTCTATTCTGCTAGGTCCCACAGAGGGACAGAACAGAACAGCCGAGCCGAATGCCGCTCAGCGGCATTCGGCTATTTACTCACTGCTGTACAGTGGTTGAAAAGTGCAGCTCCATCCAGCAGCAGGCATCGTCTGAAATTGGAATTGCAAACATTCTTGTATTCAAGTGAGGAGATACATCACTGCTCCATCCAGCACCGAGTCTACAACACTCGGGTACTAGTGTGTGCAGGCTAGGAGCTATCCACACTCGAGCCCAGCAAACAATAGAAGAAAGCTGCACACTGTAGTCCACCCACAACACACCTTTAATCTAAAAGCCTAAACATTTCCAGCACAACGGGACTCCTGTGTTGGAATTCTAGGCAGGGAGTCCCATTGTGCTGGAACTTTTTAGCCTTTTGGATTAAAACGTTTGTTTATACTGGACTGTTGTATACGGCTTTCTTCCATTAGTTGCAATACAAGCTTTCTAAATATGGGTGAAACATGAAACTTGAAACATGGTATGAAAAGTAAACTTGGCCATTAACAATGGAAAGTTTATTCATGAGAATCTGACCCATGCAGATTTTGTGATTCCTGCTTCCTATCTTGTTCTTCATGTCTCAAATAACACCATCATTTAAAAAAAAGTATTGCATGAAGAAAAATAAATATATAATTTATTGTCTACAAAATAGCATCTGAGATCTAACAAAATCTTTATCTTGCTCTGCCACGTCTATATAAGACCATTGTACTGATTCAGACTCCAGACATAGTATGCACTGTGTGCACTCTGTGTGCACTCTGATTACAGAACTTTGATTCTCCATATAAAAGGATTGGGTAGAACAGTAACAAGGCTCAGTGATGAATGTTCATTGTGCACTTCTGCAAGTTACATTATGTCTATGTATGACATTACCATCAGAGGGTGAAAAACTAAGTTCAAGACCTGGATGTTCTATTACCAAAAAAGATTATATTTACAACATCAGATATTTCAGCGACGGGGACTTCATAATTGGTGGAATATTCAGTGTTTATCAACATATTGAGCAGTTTGAAAAAGTTTTAAACTCTCCGATAACTTGTTTATTGTAAGTATTTTTTTTTAAAGTGTATGTGAAGGCAAAATGTTTCTTTCAGTTTTGGGAAGAGTGGGCAGGGTTAGACTTTCTTTCAAGTTTTTAAAGCGCTCTGTGTCTCAGGCTGGGGAGATTAACCCCTCCATTTGGTAGGTTACCATTGACCAAATTTCACAGTCATCACTAGAAGAAGATGTGACAGATAATCATCCAGCGGTGACAAATACTCCAGTGACAACAAAGATAGGAATTCCCTTCACTTTGGTGGGATTTTGTTTCTAATCTTCACCAGGGTAAGAATTCAAAGGAAATTTCCCCAGAATAGGCCAAAAATAACCTAATTGGTGTTTTAAGCTTTTTACACTTTGTCCAAAACACTGCTTTGGGCTATTCATACACTTTCATACAACATACACTGATGTCACCTAGGGTTGCCACCTGTCCGGGATTCACCCAGAATTTGATTTGAATCCTGTATGTGCTGTGTCTGTGTTTCGGGGCAGCTGAAACCTGGACAAAAAAATGTCACAATGTCAGGCAGACAGAGGCAACCATGGGGTCCTGGTCTTCCTGATCATATGCAACTCCACTTTGTGCACAGTATGGAGGTAGACCTCAACTGTGACTGGGCTCTGATGGTAAGTACAACATTCCCTCTCCCATGTACAATGTTAAATTGATGCCCTCAGAGCCAGGATTGTAGGGGGTGCAGGAGGATCGAGTGTAAGCATTGTTCATTTTATTTCATATCACATCACCCCCATAAAAATGGATCTCGGCAAACAATTTGTGACTTTTTCAGACACTTTGTGCTTCAGCCCATTTAACAAGTTCTGCTCTCTTGGCTGTCTCTCCTCACTCTCTCACCTGGGGACATAAAAGTTACCAGAACATGCAAACAGTATGAAAAAATAACCTTTTCCCAAAAATCTCTATCTTTTGGGTTTAAACCAATGTTTTCTAAGTTTAAAACTGAAACATGGCATTATGGGGATGGATTTATGTTTTTGCTTATGTTTTTTTATGAAATAATGAGGAGGTGTTTTCTGGTAACTCATATAAGTTATACAAAGACTTCTCTGATGTGGTGATGTTTTTGTGCCTTAAAATGCCACGTGGGGTCAATCATGGCACAGGACATTCCATGTGGAAGGGTGTGTGTTCTGTCTTTTCTCTCTACAACCTACTCTGATCACATTACTAACACAATATAATGCTGCATTGTCCACGTATACAAGGTGCTAACATCTGTGCTGCATAACTCTATACAGCTTTTTCATAAATTGTGCATACACATTAGCGAGCCTTTATTACAGCATCATTCTATAGCAGTTAAAATGATAAATAAAAGAGGGGCGTGGTCGGCCCGCGAATAGCATGGATATTGCTCCGCATATCCAGGCAGCTCGGAAGACTTTTCAGAGCCTTTGGGCACTAAAAATCAGCTCTTTACTAACTCGGTGTAACCCGGAGTTATGACCTGCAAACGAAAAGAAGAGCAGCTGCCGAAGAAGTTCACTGAATGTTTCACCTCATCGGCCTTGAGACCAGCCCAAAATGGGTGCAGATCCTTTTCACCAGGATCCTCAGCTTCCTTACAGCAAAACCGCACCTCACAGCAAGCTCCTTCATCTGGATCGCGGAACTCCATAGCACCGCTAGATCCCACTACTTCTGTCTCCTCTCACAGTGGCAGCCCAGCGAAAACCAGGCCTCGCATGTCAGAGGAACGTGGCAACAACTCTGAGGTGAGCCAGCTTAATAACTCTTTAGATGACACCAGAGAGGTGATAGGCACTATCAATGGTTTCCCTACCTCTAATCAACCAGTGTTAGACACAAAGGGCATGCTGATTTCTCCGTGTAGTGAAATACACACCAACATGGTTTCTCTAGTTAAAGATACAAGTCCTGGTGTTACCTCAATTAGTAGCAGAGTGGACCATGTTAAAAATAAAATTGCGAATTTGCAACCACTATCAATGAACTAACAGATTCTCATGATCATCTTACCGATGATGTACAGTGACTTAAATCCAAATTGAAGGATTTTGAAGATAGGTCCCGCCGCAACAATATTAAAATATGGGAGATATCTGAATCTGTCACTCAGCAGGAATTACACAGGTATGTTCACACATTGACGCGTGACAGACAGAATTCATAGATTGCCAAAACCATCCTTCTTACCTGAGAGAACACCACATGATGTTATTCTGCTTACTCATTTTTTCCATATCAAGGAGAAACTGACGGCTAAGATATGATCTGCTCCTGTGTTACCGGATCCATATTTTAAACTGCAATTATTCCGGCTTTGATAACAATTTTAGCATGTCTTCTTGGAGCCCTTGAAGCACCCTTTAGCTCCAATCTGGAGGTGTTAAATACAGATGTTAATAGAATGCTAGAGAAAGCATGAAAGATACGCTGCCACCTTGTAGTGAAAGGCCCCTCCTCCAAGTAACTTATACTCACCTCACTAGTACTCCCAGAGCCTTTTTTCCTCCACAGCTGCCCATTATACCTGGTGTAACCAAGTATGGAGGAACATGTGATCTTCTCCTCTGTGACAATGCCATCCAGGCAATCACTGCTAGACCATCCATATTCTGAGCACTGTCACAGCTTTCTTAGGTCATCAACATCAGCAATTTTAGCGTCACTCTGGCAGAGGAAGGAGTGGCCATGGAACACTGGTAAGGTGAGTATATAGGGGGACTGGTCGTTTTTACCTCACCCTGAATGGACAAAGTGATAGTATATCTTTAAACAAGTTTTAGCAGGGTTTCATTGGTTCAATAGGTCTTAAAGAAAGCTAATAGAAGCTTGGTCAATACTTTGTAAAATCCTGCTGAATGTGCTGCTTTTTGGTGCTTTTCAAATTATTATTTGCACCCTAAAATTAAAAATGTTTTAAAATGTTTAGGCTCTTCTATTAAGGGCCTAAACACATATAAAAACTACACAGAGAGAAGATTCAAGATGCCCTTTTCATCCTTTTTCTCTTCATAGACCTGTACCTCGTTACTACAGATACTTCCTGGCTTTTACGTTTGCCATTGATGAGATCAACAGTAATTCTGACATTTTACCTAATGTGACTCTGGGATACTTTGCAGGTGACTCTTGTAGAAATGTGAATAATGCATTAGATATTGTCCTGGAGATATTATCTGGAAAGGAATACATAGTTCCCAACTACTCCTGCTATGATCATGAGAAACTTGTTGGTGTTGTTGGAGGCCAGTCATCAGAAATATCTTTGCATATAGCTCAGATTTTAAACATTTATGGATATGCACAGGTAAGAAGGTGGCTCTAAATCTAAGGTACAAATAACCCTCTCACTGCCAGAACTGTTTTTGCATTTTTTTGCATGTTAAAATGCACACTTTAGGCCTGAAGATTACGTAAAGACCTCCAGAAGTATACATTTCCTGAAAGCAGAGAATCTGAAGAATGAAAATATGGCAGTTGCAATTTTTTATGTCTCACAATATTAGCGCAACTATTTATCAAACCCACATTTTCAATAAAAATACCTTGAAATTAATTTTAGTACACAAAAAACACAATTTAATACCCATATTTTGTGTATTTTTTAGTTTATTATAACTTTATTAAACTTTAGCGAAAAGACAAATATTGCAGGTACGTAATTCATGCCATTAGCTATTTTTCATTACAATTATAATTTCACAGTACAGCACAGTTTCTTTAGTAATAGTAATCATACTATTCAGCACAGGGACGATGAGTAAATGGATGTTCACTGCCTCATCTGCTAATACCCACCATGTTATTCCCTGGCCTGCAGAGCGGCAGTGAATCCTGGTGTAGCGCTCACCCCCAAAGGAGCCGCTGAGTATGAAATAGGTTCTCCTACCTGTTTTCTTCAGCCACCGATCCCCTTTGATCAGCAACAGCAAACCGACACTCATGGACAGAATGGACTCGAGTCTCAGGGTCTTTTGGGGTGTTTATTTGCAGATTCAACAGGAGAGAGAGGGTTTAGGATCTGTAGGATACCCTTGAAAATGCTTCAGAGGACTGCGCTTTCTCCCTTAGAAACAGCTAAAGTCAGTAGTATCGTGGCCCTATCAGAGCGACCAATACATGAACAATACAGTGTATAGCCAGGATAGTCCAGGACTTTGAGAGGAAGAGACTATCTCTGGACTCAGGTAGCAACCACTGGCTTCTTCTATAGCAATCACCTGAGAATAGGGTGAGGGATCTCTCTTGTGGGTCCCAGACGGTCGCTCTCACTAGCTCCTCTGCGGCACACATCAACAAGAAGACTCCACCTCCGGCCCAGCTTCCATCAGGTCTCCTTGCAGCCATAACTGAAATCTCTGTGCCCTCAGCATCTGCCACCTGCTGAGGTGCATGCCAGATATCCAGTGGTGTATTCTAGTTACAGGCGCCCAACACCTGCCACGTGTGTGGGCCCAGCAAAGTATCAGGGTATCCTAGGCCTCCAGGCCCCTCAGCACCTGCCATGTGCTGAGGCCCAGGCCAGTTTCTTGCATCACATAGGCCTCCTGAGGAGAGGCCCCAGGAGGGGAAGAGAGCTCTGCACAGTGTCCCCAGACCTTTTATTACCTGCATTCAACCATCAAAAATCGACCGCTACATGTCCATAGACAGGGCAATTCACTTTAAAATCTCCTGGTTCAGGCTGATCCCAGACCGAAGTACATTAAGAAACCCATTGAGTCATCAAATAGAATGGGATGCTTTAGATGCTTTCATTGCAATATGTGCAATGCAATGATCTGTGGTGACTCTTTCACTCATCCACACACAGGGAAACAATACAAGATCAATGGCTATTTTACCTGTGACACGGAATACTGTGTGTACCGACTCACATGCCCATGCTCACTAAATTACATTGGCAAAACAATTGGTCCTTTTAAACGTCGGTTCCAAAAGCATAGGAGCGATATTAGGACAACAATTGCTAAACACCTAAAAGGCGAAGAACTGGACATTCAAAAACCAGTTGCCATACATTTTGCAAAAATGCACCATCAGACGCATGAACTAAAAGGCATGATAATTGAGCAGGTACACCAGCATCCCAGGGGAGGAGATAGGGCCAAACACCTCCTCCATAGAGAATCCTTCTGGATTTACACATTAGATTGTGTACAACCCAGGGGGCTAAACACAAACCTATCATTGTCTTGTTTTCTAGACGATAGGTAGATCCACATGGATCCTAGACCTCTCGAGCATATATTTACTCACAGACCCCCCAATATCTATTTGACTGTCTCCACTCCATGCTTTTGTTCGTTAGGGTCACCCAGTGGGCCACATCACGTACAGGCAGCTCTGGGTCCTCATTTTTTAATTCCTTCCTTCCCTCCCTCCCCCTGTTAAGATACATCACTATTGAACCTCACCTTCCACTTCTTTCCTGGTGTACAGTCCTCCCCAATTGCACCAATACAGTCTCTCCACCACATAGGACACATTCAGAGATATCAGACAGACTAATGCCAATCACTAATTATTGAATTAATTTTTATATTTTATTTTGATTTCTTTAACAAATCCGAAACTTTTTCATTAAGGGCAAGCAATGGCTACACCTTATTGATATTTTGCATATCTAAATTACGATTGCAACAATTCATTATTGCAACTATATGTGACCACATTTGTCAACAGTTGTATGATTCTGCACTTCTGTTATATATTGACTGACACTGTGTAATTTCCATGGATCGTGTTTAACATGCCACATGGCTAGGTGGACCAATGGCGTTAGATCAGAGGGGCGATACTACCACACAGCTGTTAGCTGACCAATTGTTTACCTAATTGAAAACTGACAGGGCGGGAAACATGTACTTGTTATGCAATTGGGGGCGGGATTGGCTGTGTTTTTAAACGTCACAGATGTAATACACATCACTTCTGCATTCAGACCTCGGAGGGAGATCAGCAAGGAGGAAGAAGATGCTGATCTCACTCCCATCTTCCTCCTGATGCCCTCCCGAGCCGGTCCCGGGCCGCAGATGGGCTAGCGGATCCCAGGATTGAAGGTGAGGGGTTAGGGGGGGGTGGGGGGATTGTGGCAGCAGCGGCAGCACTTGAGGGGGAGTCCTGTGCAGAAGGGGTGTGTTTTTTCTGCCCGTGAGCGCGCGCTAGGGGCCATGCGAGCAGAAAAAAAAGCTGTCTGGACATGGCAACCCGCAAATGCGAGTCTGCCGTCCGTCCGTTTTTCCTCAATGGGCGGACGGCAGGAGGTTAGGTTGCCTAGTATTTGAGGTTGAATAAAGACACAGGTCCATCAAGTTCAGTCTTTGTGAGCATTTGCATGTATGTATATATGAGTGTCTATGTGTTCTAGTCATTAAAGCGGACCTTTACACTCAAAAATCAAATTCTACCAATGCATCCCTCTATGTAAGATGATAAATAATAACATAGACATGTCAGGTGTAAAATGCTGTGATTGTGAAACACTTACACTTGCAAAGCATTCACTTCCTGCTTTGAAAGGGCAAATTACTTCAGTTTGCCAAAACAATGCACACTGGGATTGCCTTGTCATCAGCAGAGCATTGCTGGGAAATCTCATCTGTAATCTCACGAGATCTCAGGGAAAGGCATTTTCCTCCCCAATACCCCCCACCTCCAACCAAGTTTGGCTCGGGAATGGGTACTCACGTGGCAGTCTAAAAGCCTATTTGTCTTTAGAGATATTTTGGACCACATCTCCTACTCCTTAATCCCGTATGCAACGCTTAAGGATAGGCATGACCTCCCCTCTATTCCCCTATTCCCCTATCTTCAGATTAAACACCTTGCCCAATCCATAACCCCTACTCTTACATTCGATAGACGAACTCCGTTTGAGATGCTATGCAGTTCCTCCTTCTCCTCGAAAGGCATGATCTCTGCTTTGTATCAACTGCTGCTTAAACCAAGGCCGGAACAATTTGTTCAACACAATTATATGGTTAAATGGGAGCGGAGTCTGGGGGTTCCTATCACTAGGGAGCAATGGGAGTCGATATGGAGGTCGGCTGCCAAATCCTCTATATGCTCAGTCTATAAGGAAAATCAGTATAAAATATTGTACCAGTGGTACTACACGCCCGCGTTTTTACACTCTATATTCCCGACAGTGTCGCCAGAATGTTGGAGAGGGGATGGACAAGTTGGGGCCCTGTTTCATATATACTGGTCTTGTCCGAGGTTACAAGCCTTCTGGAAGATGGTCCAAACCACACTGGAACGCCTGTTACAATTGAAGCTCCCGTTGAAAACTATTCACTATCTACTGGGCCTTCTGTTCCCTCACCTCCGTAAGCATGACCTTAAACTAGCCTCCCATATAATGACAGCGGCAAGATGCCTCATAGCCCTCCAATGGAAGCGCCGGACTCCGCCGACTGAGGAGGAGCTATATCAGCGTGTCAAGGAGGTGCAGGAGATGGAACACCTGAATGCAAGGTTGAATAACAACCTTCATAACTATAAGAAGGTATGGTCAGCATGGACTTCTCTGGAGGACCAACTGCTGGTACCAAGATGTGCATCAAGCAAGGCTAATATGTCCTAGACATAGAGGCTAGCCAGTAAAATGGCAGAACCAAGGTTAATCGGGTGTGGATTGAGATCTGGGGAGGCGGATCCAAGGAAGAGTGGGTCATGACCAAGCAGGAGCAAGGTTAATTTAGACTGTTACACACCCTGGAAGAGGAGTGAGGTACTTGTTTATTTGTTTACTTGTTAATTTCTTAAATGGTTTAATTCTCAAAATAATGGTTTAGACATGCGCATAGATACGTTTCATCCTAATGATTAATATGCCCATGACTAAACTCCATGCGCACCTTCTATCGATACATACAGTTTAGTCACTAATAAATATGTGCAGCAAAATGTGTGAAAACAGGCAATTTTCTCTTATTGAAGGATTGTGTACTGCCCACCTTGAGGAATCTACCAGTAGTAAAATGGAGTCCTGGAGGGACTGCGAATGCTCTTAACAAACCTTTGTCCTGATGATCCGAGGTGGTGGTACTCTATCCCCCAAACAATGGAAGCTAACATGTGAAAATGTTTTGATCATTAACCTGTTTCCTTCTCTGTATATTTTACTTTTATTGTCCATTTGGTATATGATTCAATATTTTGTAAATCCTATACTGCTTGTATGAAAATAAAAAAAAGTTTATTCGGAAAAAAATTAAAATAAAAAAATGAGTACCTGTCACGACCATCTGCTATCACATGGGGGGGCTTGTAAGCCCCCCTATGTGATAGCAGTCAAAGTAAAGTTAAAAAAAAAGCTTTTTCAATTAAAATTAAATAAAATCAATCTAATAGTAATTGTAAAAAAATTTGAAAAGTCCCCCGCCCCCGTGAGCACGCGCGTCGCCACGTAAACACGCGTCGGGTGCGCCTACGTATGAAAACGACGAACGCGCTACACATGTTGGGTATCACCGCGCACGCCAGAGTGAGAGCAATAATTCTAGGGCCAGTATTTTGGGGTATCTCTAAATTGATGACCTGTGGGGGCTTTTAAAGCGTCTTCTATTGACTTTTTGGGGTACTGCAGTTTTTTGCCGTTTCACGGATGCACGCAATTTGTAACCTGGGCATGTTGGGTATCGTTTTACTCTTTGTAACCTCATCTTTTATATTTCATTTAAAAAAATGGTATTTTGTTGTGTTTTGGGGCATTAAATTAAAGTTTTCACTAAATGTTGGGGTTTAATAAGGAGTTGCGCTAATATTGCGCAACATAAAAATTTGCAACTACCACCATTTTATTCTACAGGGTCTTGGCATTCAGAAAATATATAATGTTGGGGGGTTTTAAGTCATTTTCAGGCCTAAAATGTGGAATATAACATGGGTGCAAAAAATGAAAAAAGGGCCTCAGTCATGAAGGGGTTAAATAAATGGGTAAAGGTCCGCTTTAAGCATTAAATACATGTGCTATGTGCTCAATCCTGATCTGCTTCCTTATTTTATGGACATGGAGTAGTATTTAAATGTATATGACATAATTAAATTATAGAGCCTCCTAATTACTCCTGACTTCAGGAGATATCTCTTCCGATCCTGGCCCTCTATTTTATAATACTCACCCTCCAAACCAGCGCTACATTTCCTCTGGCAGCAGCCGTAATCCATGCAACTTGATTTCTATTCCCCTGCTTCCTATAACCAGTCCTTCTTTCTCATGTTCACTCTGGAATGCCCGCTCTGTCTATAACAAACTCACCACTGTGCATGATCTTCTCATCTCCAATTCCTTTAACATGCTTGCAGTTACTGAAACCTGGCTTCAGGAATCTGACTTTGCCTACCCTGCTGCCCAGAATTTACATAGGACAAGGCATGCTGTGGCATTTACTTGTCTGGGAACTGAGCAATTCACCATGGAGAGAATAGATCTGATACCCCCATATGCCAGTGTTGCACTAGCAAAGTAAACTTATCATGAACATCAGGCTATAGCAGTCTACAGCACTTGCTATACAACTTTAGCATAACGTTGCATTCTGGATCATTGAGGGCCCTTCTGGGATGTGAGATATGATTACTGGCCTGTGTAATTGTAAAAAAAAACAAAAAAACTTTGTCTATATATGGCTGCCAAAGAGATGTTGCTGTTGTTGTTGTTGTTGTTGTTGTGTAGTTCAATTTCAATCTGATGCCATTGTGGGTGGTAACTTTTTGGAATAAGGACACTGACCTTGCTATGTTTCCAGAATATTAGATCTTTGGGAAGAAACAGTTGCTTCCCTTCAGGAAATAATCCACTGAATATAAATATATATGACTGTCGCTCTGATGAAGGATCCCTGTGCGGACCCGAAACGTTAGCACCGTATGACAGTATGTGACATTGGGTATTGAATAAACATATCAATACTTTAAAAACCCTTCAAGTGTGTGCCGGTGATTTACTTTTATTTACTATTGTTGTTGGTTTAGCTCGGCACATTTTATATATATATTGTGTACGTTGCCACAAAATATCTGATAAGCAATATCTAGTCACACACGTCACTGTAGCTAGCTGAATAGCTGAATAGTTCTAATTCCCTCTACATTCTCCATAATTTTAAAACATGTTCATAATGAAAAAAAAATATGTTAGGGCAGACAAGAAAAAGTAAAAGGCATAAATTGTGGAACTGAAACATCTCAAAGTAAAAAAATAAAATGCTCTGGAACTCAAGGGGTAAAAGGCTCAGGGACACAAATGGTTACAAACACATCAGAAATTGTATTTAATTTATTGTTTAGATCAGCTATGGTGCAACAGATCCTCGTTTAACCAATAAACAAATCTACCCGTCCTTCTTCCAAACACTGCCCAGTGATCAGATACAGTATTTGGCAATTGTGAAGCTACTGAACCACTTTGGCTGGACTTGGATTGGTGTTATTACATCTGATGATGATGTTGGAGAGATACAAAGTCTGGAGCTCACCAAACAGGCTGCTAAACACGGCATTTGCATTGAGTATACTATTAAATTACCACCTGGTCACAACAATAAAATATTCTATGTATCATATGTAGCAACAAACATTTTCAATAATTCAACCTCTACTGTTGTTGTACTTTGTGGCTCCATTTCATTTGCCATGGTATATTTCATTGAAACACTTTGCAGAGTTGGCCATAAGAAGACAATAATTACTCCAGCAACTCCACTTCCTCACCTTCCACAAAAACCCAGAGGGGCAGCTTCCCTCCATGGTAGTTTGATATTTACCCCTATCACTAAAAAAATCCCCACATTAAAAATGTTTTTAGAAAACATCAGCGTTGCAAGTTATCCAAATGACTCTTTAGCTGAACACATCATGGCAATTCATTTTAATTGCAAAACTTCAGATCCATTACTTACCAAGACAATTGAATTCTTTTATGGAACAAAACTTTACAAATGTAACAGAAGTATACTTATTGGTGAGCTTCCTGATCATATATACTACACTCAGAGTTTTGGAATAACTTACCAAGTGTACAGAACCGTCTATGCCATGGCACATGCTCTACATGAGATGCAATTATTTACATCCAGGAAACAAAACACAAGCGTTACAAGTCATAGACATATACTGAAGGTAAGGTGATATGCAGGGTCCAGTATACTGACACTGATTCAAGTCAAATTATAAGAGGTCATGCTGGTTGTGTTGGTGAAGCCCATATACTGTACATAATGCTTAAAAAGGAACTTTACCCATATCTTCAAAATAACAACAAACACACCTTTAGAAATGTTTAGTAATTGTAATCTACAGACAGATACTGCTTGATATATGCAGGCTTTGTATTCTTTGCATACATTGTTTCTCTTTTCTTTCCCATTCTTCTGACAGTAGCCTGTTTAACTAAGGGCAGGTTACTAGATCTCCCTTTTCTTCCTGGTACTCTGGCACATATGACTAGGACACGTGACCATGCACATCATCTCAGGGAAGGAGAATGCCTTTCCCTGAGACCTCATGAGATTACAGTAATCTCATGTAATCTTCCCAGGATGCAATGCTTTGGCACATTACATGATTTGTGCCAGAACTGGACCAGGAAGAAGATGAACTGTATTTGTAAGTAAATGAAAAACAAGTTTGTTTAATTTTGTAAGATGATTTCATATCAGCATGCAGCGCTGCATGCTGACGTATTTTTTAGTGAAAGGGGGTAAAGCTCCATTTTAAGATGTAATTTGAGGAAAATGGGACAATGTTATTTCCAATAAAGCTTGACTGTTGTTTTTTGTTTGCATTATGTACGGAGTGGTGTTGGGTTAGACCCTTTGTAAGGTGTTACATGCGGCTTTCTACCTCTTTTAGAAGTAACCCCCATGCTTTCTGTTCTGTTTTATCCTCATCACTTGCTGAGTTACACTGTCATCGCAGGCTGCGCTGTGAGAATGGAAAACTGAACAAAGGGGAAACAAACACGACACCCCCAATAGTGTCTGTCATAGATGCCATTCTGATGTAGTGTGAAACCAGCTACAACAGCACTTCACAGGGAAGGAATACAGAGCATTTACAACAAATACATGGATTTCAGTAATCAAGGGTTTGAATGAAAAAAATATTAACTCATCTAAAAATATTAACATGAAGGTGTCCAGAGTTGGGCTTTAATCTATTGACCTATTAAAGGTATCAGACCCATTAGATTAGATAAATGAATATTAGATAGGGAGCCACTTGTAACTTAGCTGACTACTACTGGAAGCAGAGGGTTGTAGACAACAAACTAAACAAAATATACTTGTTTATTGTTCCAGTATTTTTTAAGAAGGGTTCATTTCCAAGATCCCACTGGAGAAAAAGTGTATTTTAATGAAAACGGAGAGATGATCCCAGAGTATTACATTTATAATTATGCCGTGTTTACTGATAGGAGATATCACATACGGCATGTTGGCAGATTCAATGGATCATTTCCTGAAGGGAAGGAACTGGTTATCCTCAAAGATATAATATTCTGGAAACATGGCAAGGTCAGTGTCCTTTCTCCTATAACAAGTTAAAGCTAAAGTCACCACCCACAATAGCATAAGATTGAAGTTGAACTACACAACAACAACAACATCTTTTTGGCAGCCACATCTATACAAAATTCCCTATTCTTTACTATTACACAGGCCAGTAATCATATATCACCTCCCAGAAGGGGCCCTCCATAATCTTGAATGCAAAATTATGCTAAAGTTGTATAGCAAGTGCTGTAGACTGCTATAGCCTGATGTTCATGATAACTGTTTAATTTCCTAGTGCAATGCTGGAATATGATAATATCGGCCTTATTCTCTCTATGGTGAATTACTCATTTCCCAGACAAGTGAATGCTTCAGAATATAACTACCCAACTCAGTGCTACAGACCTTCAATACCACCAAAAATATACTACAATGTGCAATATCACTGCAGCCTTCAATTCAATATACCAAAATATACAACACAATATTATAAAAAGAATGGTGCTACGGACACAAAACATGCGTTACATAAAATAAACACCACTTTGAAATTCCATGTGAACTCTTTGAAAAAGTTCAATCTCTTTACCATGAATTCCTTTTCTGTTTACCATTTGGGGGGTTCCACAGGTGAGTAGAGACAGTATCGGAAGCTATGTTAGATGGAAGTCATCTGTATAAGGCGCTATATGCCTATCTGCAAAATAAGAGGCATTGTTGTTTGGTGGGTCTGCTGGGGAGAGGTGTTTGAGCACTGGAGCACTTTGATTCACGATGAAGAGTTTGAACTTTGTGGAAGAGTTTATTTAGAACTGTTACCGGATGGAATAATCTTCATTGATTAAACATCTTGTCACATGGACTTTCACATTGGTATTTATTTTATGTAACGCATATTTTGTGTCCGCAGCTCCTTTCTTATTATAATATTGTGTTGCAAATGCTACAGCATTCCTTGCCCTATGAAAATTCTGACTTTCAAAAAGTCAAGGAGCCAGGATGGCACAGTAAAAGTAGGAGGTGAGTATTTAGGAGGCTCAATAATTTAATTATGTCATATACACTACTACTACTCCATGTCCAGAAAATAAGGAAGCGGGTCAGGTTTAAGCACACAGCTGATGAGGTCATAAAACAGAAGTTATCTCAATCCACATTGCTCTTAGTGAGACCCATACTTGGGGTCTAATATCAGGGGTCTGCTTTCTAAATAGAACCCTATGCTGCAAATTAGTTGTGGTGAGATATCTTTCCCCTAGCCTATGAGCAAGAGGAGCACAACTCTTTATATAGTAACTCTATTTAAATTGTTTTCTACATTATTAAAGGCCAAATCCTGTTTCAACAATTGAAATAAACGTGGATCCCCCAGCAGTCTTAAAAAAAAATTAGCTTTGGCATGCTAAACGCACAACCTGTTCCCCTCAAACTCACCCGCCTGGGGATCCAGCGTGACTCATCTTCTGGGCTGAGTGACATTTAGCATCATATAACTCACTACTTGTCAGCCATGCTGTGCTTTCTGCAACATTTAGGAACCATTCACTACCAGAGGAAGAAGAGGGTGAAAGCACCCGTGACATCACCGGACTGAGGACACCTGGAACTAAGGCACATATAAGTCACTCCAAAAGGGACAAATAGGCAAAAGTGGCAAAACTTTTTTAGCACATTGTGATTATTACAGTATTAAAACATTTTCTACAATTAGTGTTTATTAACTTTTCTGCTGGTTTTGTTTCTCATGTAGGTTCCTGTGTCTACGTGTTCTGAAGACTGTCCCCCAGGATATAGAAATGTCATGAAGAGGGGAATCCATCGGTGCTGCTTTGAATGTTTGCAGTGTTCAGATGGAGAAATATCTAATGAGACAGGTTTGCTGATTTAATTCACATATTGTAAGGTGTTTACATCACAATGTCAGATAGACAGCAGTAAATATTGTTAAATATATTCCATCAGAAGTTAATCAGAACAATTCCTGTGATCTGCTTTGCCAGGTTTCTGATATTCCTGGGAATATAATCAGCTAATTATTATCCACTGATCTATGGAAGCTACATGAACGTGGGATGATTGTTGGCGCTCGAAGCAATGGAGCGAGTATCAGCAAAACAGCAGAATTCGTTAAATGTTCAAGAGCATCTGTTGTTAAAGTGTTTAAAGACTGGACTGTCAGCCGAAAATCTGGGTCTGAACGTGCGAATTGTGTCCGTCAGCGACTAGTCAATTTTAGGGCATAACGGTGAGTGGCAAGACTGGTACAAGACAACAGAAGAGCAACAGTGCAGTGTCAGATTCCTCACATCACCTTTCAACATCTTGTGAGGTGATGTGAGGAATCACCTCACAAGATGATGTGACTTTGAGGTGGCCCAACGAAGTCATCTCGTGACCCAACAAAGTACTGATGGGGTGGTCATAATAATCTGGCCACTCAGTGTATGTCCGTGATGCTGTTCTTCACAATAAATTTGTGAGAAACAATTATATATCTGGAGCACTGGTGACTTTGCATCTCTTGATTAGGTTTTAGTATAGCGCCATCCAACACTATTCCTTCAAGCACCCACTTATTATTTTAAAATATTAAAAAAAATAAAAAGCTCATAGGGGTTCTATCATTCCCTTATTCACTTAAAAAAAATAACTTCTGTTTCTGTTGCTGTTGGTGAGTTTTCCTTACTTGCTGTCTGATAAAGCTGTGTCACCAGAACAGGGAATAAGTAGAAATCTCTGGAATGAAGCACTGGATAGCAGACTTACTTATGAATAATGTATATTTTTGCCCATCCAATTTAGCTTTATTTTCTCCGAGTCAGATTCTTCAGCTTGTATCAGGTGTTAGAGGTCACTTGAAGGTGACAGTTGCTGCCTTTTCAAATGGCAGACCTCACATATAGTGCACTCAGAAGCTGGGAACAGTTTGTGATGGTGGCTTACAGGTCAGCAACTACCAAACTTCAGACGACTTATGACCCCTGATTGCCTTAATAATGACAGTTCCCATATTTCTGTGCTGACCTCTTCCATGCAACCTTTTATATCTAGACAAAGGATCATGCCATAAGTGTCCAGAAGACCAGTGGCCAAATGACAACAACAAGTGTCATCCAAAACCCGTGGAATATCTGTCCTACAAGAACAATACAATAACACTTTTGATTTCCATCATCTCTGTGATTCTTTTTCTAAAAACTTCTACAATCTTGGGAATCTTCATTGCATTTCGGGACACTGCATTGGTCAGAGCTAATAACCAAAACCTGAGCTTCATACTTCTGGTTTCTATTATGTTGGGTTTCATCTGTGTGTTTTTGTTTTTGGGCCGCCCAGTACACACAACATGTATGCTGCGTCAGACATCATTTGCAATCATCTTCTCGGTTGCTATCTCCTCTATTTTGGCCAAGACTATCATGGTCTACTCAGCCTTCAAAGCCACCAAACCCGGAAGTCCCTGGAGGAAATTTATTGGAGTAAAAATCCCCAATTGTGTGGTTTTCCTTTGTTCTTTCTTTCAGGTTTTAATTAGTATCACTTGGTTATCTTATTCTCCTCCATTCCCAGAACGAAACACCCACTTGTATGTTGACAAAATTATTATTCAGTGTAATGAAGGCTCTGCGGTGGCATTTTCCATCCTCCTGGGTTACATGGGACTTCTAGCAGCTGTGACTTTCATTGTGGCTTTCCTGGCCAGAAATTTACCAGATAGTTTCAATGAAGCCAAATACATCACCTTCAGCATGCTGGTGTTCTGCAGCGTCTGGATCGCTTTTATCCCAGCTTATATGAGT